AAATAGAATTTTGAAATTTTTAAACCGAAATTCAGCATAATCAACTATACCTGGTTGAAACCAAAGAAATTTTAATGCCTAAAACCGGATTAAAATTTTATTTTATTTAAGCATGTAATTCAATCTTAAATTAACAGAATTGTTTTTGAATTTAATTTTGTTTTACGTTTGCGTATTCCGTGTTCTACGGCTTTGAACGAGAGCTCACAGAAGTGGTCTGCAAATAATGAAACGATTTATATTTAACCAATTTTAWTTCTGATTTTGGGGTTAAAAATTTAATTTCCAATTGAAACTATGAAATTTATAAAAAAAAAATGCAATTTTTATTCCCAAACATAACGAAAATTTAATTTTTAGTTCCAAAATCATAATTAAAAGTTTAATGTTATACATTTCATTTAATTATAAATTGTTTAATTTAAATATTTTGAATCAAAAACCTATTTTACAACCAATAATTTTAAATTTCAATAAAAAAATTGATTATTGATTCCAAAATTGCAATTAGAAATTGTTAATTGTTACAGTTGTACTTTGTTCAGTTTCAGAGTTAAAGGCTTAAGGTTCACCCTGTGCTACAAATATTTATTAACAGTTAGTTTTCAATATTCATGAAAATATTCAGTGGTGATGTGATTTATCTAATATAAAATGAAAGTTCCGCTTAAATCATAGTAAATTTGTGTATATGCATCTATATTTGTGTAGAGTTAGTAACTTGAAAAGTGCAAAGTGAGTGTGTTAAAATKGTTTTAGTTACAAGCAGAAGTGTGAAGTTGAAATGAGTGAATGACATGCAAGTGTTATTTTTTTACTTTTCAATATTAATAAAAATAGTGGATGGTGATGTGATTTATCTAATATAAAATTAAAATTTTGTTTAAATCATAGTAAAATTTGTTTGTCTATTTATTTAGAGTTATTAGTGTGTAAAGTGCAAAGTGAGTGTGTTAAAAGTGTTTTAGTTACAAGAAAAGTTGTGATGCTGAAWTAAGAACTTAGTGAATGATATGTAAGTGTTACTATTTTTAATTAAAAATACCTTATCATTAAAAGCTTGTGGATAAATTTCACTAAGTATACATATCTTCTTCAATTGTTATACGGCTTCTTACTAATATGCGCATTTCTTTCTTTTTTCAGTGTTTAAAGTCGGGTAAGTCTTCCACAACCCAATTCGAATTCATGTACATATGTAACTGAACTGTTATAATTACACGTCAATTTCAAAGGCTGTTATCATTTTCGTCAAATATCTTTTTTTACATTACATAATACTAGTGCATACAAGGCCGTGCAAGTACACATGTGTTAAAAAATGAATAATTGCAYGTGTTGCTTTAATTTAAATGTGCAAACAAAAAATGGCGCAATTCCCATGTGAGTGACACATGTTGTTAAACAATTAATTTTACGGTTCATAGATATACATATGAMGGCATATATACCTACAGGTCTTTAGCTTAACTATGTATGTACCACCCAAAAAGGCAAACCAAATAGGCAAAAAAAAAAAAACATTCTTAATTAAGAAGCTAAGAACAAATGTTTATGAATGAAGCGCAACAAGGCGTATGACACTCAAACAGGTATTCATATAGTACTATATATGTATATGTATGCATGTTTGCTGATAATCCTTTGTAACATTGATATCCCKTTAGTGGAAAATGTTTTTCAAAAGYCTTACATACTGACACACTCGTWTGTCTGTAATGATGYGTTTGCTGAGAATGAGAAGCGGCTTAATTAAACTCGTATTCATATGCAAATTAGTGTGTAGGAATAAAAAAAGAGTTGTAAAAGTATCCATGCGGCAAAATGGTGGTATTAACCCCTTTTATCACACCCCACAAATAACATAATACGAGGGTTGGCTTCGTTGTTGACTGTGAGATCACACATCGTTATTGAATGCGTATGTGGTATTAATTTTAAACCCCACAGGTTGACTTATTGTTGCAATTTTCAATTCACGTCAAAATTAGAGCTAAATCTAATTATATAATTGTTTGTCATAGGTGRGGGATGATATTTATTTAGTGCTTCAGGTGATACGATGTCAATTTATAAGCAATAATTTGTAGCTAWGAGAAAAATTGTAGATTGATTCAAATACTCCATGAAATCTTTATAGACGGGAGCTGTTGTATTTAAACTACATACATCAACTTTGCGACMATTATTTTGARAAATTTCAACGGGGCATGCTCTTACTCAAGTGCAGTTGTTTTGAATTATTGTAGTTGTACTAACATTTTGCTATTTTGCCCTATCATCGGAGTTACATATTATTGTGCATGCTACCACACAAGCTGCGACTGTACAAAGCACATTCAAATCCCTCAACTATAGTTTCAAAAACCAAAACAGTTGTGTTCACGTTATTTTTAATTTTATTTTAAAAATTTTTTATTATTATTTTCTCCTAAATACGTTGTTAATAACGTATTTACGAAAGAATCATTTAATATTCCCCCTTTTTTCCGCATYGGTTAGAAATTAAACATTCAAGAAGTTATCTGGGAATTCAAAAGTGACATCCCGACCGGTGAGCTTCTTGTACACAGATGTGAAAGTATCAACCTGAAAAGAAGAGGAAGATAATTTAGTTAGTGTCGACATGTTAAACAAATGTGCCAATACAACCATTAAATTAAATTATGAGTGTAAAGATCTCCAAACCATTGTTGTTAACCATATGCGGTAAAACAACTTTTATGGTGATATTGTTAATTTTCCGCCTATGTAGGAAGTCCCAACTCGCCATAGATCTTGAAAAAGGACGAGCGGGAGGCAAAACGGCGGAACATAAATAATTTGTTTAAATATTAGACAGTTTAGTGCATAACTTTAAAATCGACATATTAATGTAAACATTGTAAACCATTGTTGTTGAGCATTTGCAATACAACAACATTTACAGCAACATTATTAATTTTCCGCCTATGTAGGAAGTCCCAACTCGCCATAGATCTTGAAAAAGGACGAGCGGGAGGCAAAACGGCGGAATTTACTTCTATTTATGTCTTAGACAACTTTTGTGCATAACTTCAAAGGTAGCCCTACATAATTGAGGCATATAAATTAATGTTACACAAACTAATTTTCGTTCTTTTCGACAATTTTTGATCTTAAGCAGCGATCAACAAACAACACAAGAACGTTACGTGGCAAAGAGAACATTTTGTACTAATTTATTACATTATTTGATTGTTTCTAAAGTATGGAGAAGTCTACTTGCCGTAAAAGCTAAATGAAGACTATAACGAGACTCTAGAATTTTATTTGCGTCCTGCTTGACRATCACTGATTTTAGGCATTCAATCAGCAAATAACACAAAGACGAAATTTAATTAGAAAACAAAATGTTCTTTTGCAATTATTTATAATATATAATCTAGTAAATTTATTTGTTTCCAATGTATGGAAGTGCCTTCAAGCCGCGAGGGCGATTAGAAGGCAATAACGAGACATTGGAATTTGATGTGCGTCCCGTCTGACGATCACTGATTTGGGTAATTAATCAGCAAACAACACAGGGACAAACGGCTTTCCATTTATATTTATACACACTTTTTCACTGTACTTACTTTGTGTTCAATAGTGGTTTGTTGATTCTTGTCCAAATGCACCTTGATCAATTGAGAGCCATCAAGCTTGACGCGGATGCGCTTGCCAACGATTTCAGCTGGGAAAACCAAATCTTCCAAGATGGCATCGTACACAGCGGTGAGAGTACGTGAGCGTGGTCGCTTTTGCTTCAATGGATTCCTTGCCTTACGGGTAGGTTTGGGCAGGATTTTACGTTCGCCAATTACAACAACGTGTTTACCAGAGAATTTCTTCTCCAACTCACGCACTAAGATGATTTGGATTTTCTGGAACGTCTTTTGTTGTGGGATCGGTACGTAGATGATGACAGCCTAGAATTGCAATACAAACAAAATATTTATACACTCCTTTTTTGTGTACATACTAACACACAAACTCACCTTCTTGCTACCGAACTCAATCTCACGTGCACGGGTGATGTGCAAATCCCTCAAATAGGGTTTCAGGTCGCTGTTGGCCTCCAACTCCAAAAGAGCTTGGGCAATGGACTTCTCAAAGTCATCAGGTTCAGCGCCACCAGGCTTGATAATCTTGTTGCCGATCATCTGTGAATAGAACACCAAATTTGTCATTAGCGGCGTTTAAATTGAATAAGTGCGCTAGTGTGCATGCGAAAGCAACAAAGCTGCCAAAACAGAACACATATTTTATCAAGTAGCAAAATGTAGCAGCGTCCGACCGGTGTACATTTAATCACTGCACATCTTCGTCACTGTTCATATTTCTTCAATTAAATTCACATATTTCGATATATCTGTTTTATGTAGTTTCTTTTCAAGCATCATTTTTGCATATTTCACTTGGCATATATATAAATTATAATTAATTTGTGTAGACAACAGAGAAGTACACCAACCTCGGTCAATTATTTTGACAGGAAAGGAAGTTAAGGCATACCACAGAACAGTAAGTTCCGTCATTCGCATTTTGACAACCGAAGAGGCAACGAGTTGGCTGTCACAAACGGGCGAGTAAATATTCAGCGATTTTAGATTATCTAGTCGCCGCCAGGGTGCGCTCTTATCAAACAGCGGGATATATTGTAGGAATAAAAAATTAATGATGAAGAGAAAAAAATAAATAAAAGAAAATTCTTAAATACTAAATCCACAGTTAGTTTTAAAGCTAGTTTGTAAAAATATGTACTATTTTATTGATAGTAAAGATTTATCCATACTTCAAAACGTTCGAAAATTATATATTTCTGCGTCTTAAATGGGCTTGCAGTCTTTATTTACGTCTCTCCACTATCAAGTTCATTTATAATTTGAAAATATATTTTTTATTGTATATATTATTATCACAAGCTTTCAATCAAATATCTCATATGAAAACATCTTCTAAACGAGATCATCAGTTATAAATAAATAAACAAATTTTTTGTTTTGCATCGATTTATTTAATTTATTATTATTAAAAATAAAAATTGATTTCATTTATCAATAATTAATTTAGGCAGTGACTGTTTGATAATGTGGCAGCTGCTAGCCTTTGGCGATCTCTTTGGCCACAATAACTTTAATGGCGGTATCTATGGTGTGCTTACCAACATGCTCCTGTCAGAAAACATTAGGGATGTTAGTAAAATGGCAAAAATTAATTAAAAAATTTAGTAAAAAATACTTACGATTTTCTTGCCGATCTTCTTGAGCCAACCAGCCTCGGTTTGTCCGGCGAAAATTGCAATCATCAAGATCACTAAGAAGATGAAGGCTTTGTTGAAGTTCATGTTGATTCCAAATTTTTCTGCTCTCCAAAGTGTGGGATTTACGAGTTTTGTCCTTTATTGGCGCTTGTGTAGACGCTATTGCTTTTCTTAAGACACTTGAAGTGAGTTTGATGGCAATGCATTTGTTGGCTGCACTTTTTATAGTGGGCTCAAGCTTCAGCTTTTGGCAGTTGCAGGCGTTATGAGACCCAGAAATGCTGCGGGGGTGCACAGACGCTCACTATATGGGCGTCTACTGATAAGCTGATTATATTTTTTTTATTTTTATTTTAAAAATTAATTACTGTTAGTTAAAGAAAAAAATTATGAGGGGGAATCAGAACAAWGATATGCCCACTAAAAGTCATTATTAAGACAAGCAAATTTTTGCCWAGGAATATATGGATTCCATAATGATTACGGGGGGAAATTATGACCCGATTGCCCCTAGCGTTATTACTATATTATTAACTTATTTTATAGACCATATCAAGCTTTGCTTTATTACTTTATCTAGCTTTGTATACAATACAATATATAATATCCAATCATAAACCAGACCGATATACATACATACATATRTATATTGCATAATGGCAACCGCAAAAACTAACATTGGGATGTTAAGTAGGACAATTTACCGCTCTAGCCAAATGCCAAATTCTGCGCCCTCTCTCAGCCTGTCTTGTCTTTCGGGGGTTACATGGGTTTCCTCGAGTTAAAAACAGCGTTTTTCAACAATTTATTTCTCATAAAATAAAAGAATTATTACATTTGATTTTTTATACTCTCGCAACAAAGTT